TTATCTTTAAAATCAAAAAATAATGTTTGATGTTTATAATGATAGAAATTAAAACATTAAACAAATAAATTTTAAAAAATTAATTAACAATAACAACAACTATAAATAACATTAAACCATATATTATATTTAATTTTATTCATGTGTAACTCGTGGGTACAAGTCATTCAACCGATTGAGATTATTAAGTTATAATAGATGTATATATTATCATATAATTCAAAATAATCAATATATTATATCAATTTAGTATACAAATTATTATATCAAATTTAACAACAACGTTATTGTAATATTTTAAAAAAACATATATTTGTAAAGACTTCAACTATATGAGTGTTTCTGCGCAACGCACGGGCATTCGCCTAGTATATTATAAGGTGAACCACTAAATGATGAACTACCTCCGGGAAACTTGCTTTAAAACGGTAATATCTTTTTAAAAGTAAAAAAATAAAAAATGAAAAAATGAAAAAAAAAAAATTATACGGTTTGGCGGTTTGACCCGTGAACCCTATTACTAACCCGAATTCGAGTCGTTTATTTGGCGGGTTGGTAGGTTAACAAGTTGGCGTGTCAGAAATCTCAACCTAAACCCGTTTATTTTCGTGTCGTGTTCTTGTCGTGTTAAGAATTGTCACCCTAATTTCAAGTAGCTTTTTTTGGAGTATTTAAAAATTTGTTTTTATCTAATTTTACACATTTAAAAACTAACAACTTATTTGGTGAACACTTTTGTACAAATAAAAATAAAAACTATAGATTCTTGTTTTCAGCTACCAACTTCCAACTAACATATACTAACTTTCACTAACACTTAACAACTTCCAACATTCAGCTTCCAATTTAAAGTTGCTGGCTAGTTTTGCGAAACGCACATTAACCCTTTATTTTAATAAATAATCTTTTTTTGTATACTATGCTAAAATTCGTTATAGATGCGATTTGTAAGTTTAATTCAACAATGTTGTATTAATAATATAATTTACAATAAGTTAATATTACTTCTATAACACAAATATCATTTAACACTAGCTCAAATACATTATATTAATCCTAGTGTTCATCACATGTTTAGTTCTTGTAACTTTGAATGTCCCCCACGCCTCTTCCCACCCATGGTCGTAACCAGGCTTTTTCTTGTTCACGATGGAGAACCAGCTTGGAATGTTTTCTTAATGGAGAACCATAAAAATAATAGTAAAAAACTAAATATATTATATTTTATTACATATGTTAAATACATCCTAAAACATTTACTAAAAAGTTCAACCTTTTTACATTTTGTCAATATTAATTAATAGCTTTTTATTTTTAATTCTAAAAGGAAAGTGTTGAATAAATTAATAAGCATCTCGTTCTTTTTCATATCTTTTTTCATGGATGTAACCATTATTCTGCATGGATTAGTAGATAGGTACAAACCTATGAGTTGAATACCCATGCCTTTTGTCCCTTGATGTCCATTGTAACAAATGGTGCTTATGTTATTATCAACTACAATACAATGGTTTTTCTTTAAAATATATCCAAATAATGAAACATTCATTGCTAATAAATGACTATAGACGTTTTTTTTGTTTGTTTAAATTAATACTCCAGTCCTATTAGTTAGAGAGTTAATATCAGAAAAATATCTTATTAGTTATGTTTTTCTCAATTAAACCTAAGTTTTATTTTTACCTTTTTAAAAATAATAAAAATAAAAGTTGTCAAATATAAGGATATTTGAAAAATAAAATAAAAAATTTAGGAATGTTTTCAGAAAATTTTAAAGATTGAAGCACATCACAACATCCACTTAACTATCACTACTCAAGGGCTATTTGAGATCGCCTATTTAACTTAATATATCTATTTTGTTTATAAAAATGCTTATTAGACGACACAAATGAATTTTTAAGAATTGTTTGGGTTAATTAATGTGGTGGCAAAAAACTATAAATTGATAAGTTGATTTTTTATGTATGGATTAGTTTACATATGTAAAATGATTAAAAAAATATACTTACATATTTGGATCTATTTAGTATTGTTATATGTAATATTTTATGTAAAAATATTAAGTTATAAGCTAAAAAAGTTTGGTTTTATAAAGAATATTATAATCTTTTCATCTTTATCAATCATAAACTGTTTTTAAAAGTTAGAAAAATATAATATATGAAAAATAAAATTTTAAAGGTGACAAAAAAAACTACTTCCAAAAGTGTTTATTAGTTTCTTAAACATCTTTTAAATTTATTGATATTCAGAAAACTAACAAATCAATAATCATTTCAAGTGTATATAGAAAAAACCTCACAATACCTAATTAAAAGAATATATATATTTTTAGAACATTTACAATCAATTAAACTCAATTTAATAGATTGTCATATAATTCATTAAACATCTATACAACAACACTCATAATCTAATAAATACATATTCAATTCTATTCATCGATTTATCCATTCTATTTAACAATTTAATGACTTTTAACTTTACTGTAGGTCATCACCCACATTTCATTCAATTTATATTCAATCCTAATAATCATTCTATTCAACTTTTATACTACTTGCATTGTGAATGCTCTTAGGCTGGAGGGAGTGGTGCCACCGAAACCGCACTCCCTCCCCCGCCACATAAGCGTCATGTTATTTTTTACCACACAAGTGTGATTTCTTGCCACACCAAGGGGGTGGTGCCACACTTTTATTTATTTTTTTATTTTGTGTTTTTTGTTAACTATTTTAATTTAATAAAACTTATTTTTTTAATAAAAAAAACATAATTTTAAAAAGATAATATTTCATTAATTAAAAATTCAAATACCATACATTACTTAACTTAAAAAAAAACCTAAAAATTTAGAAAAACAAATTAGAAACATAAAACCTACAACTTAAAAAAACACACACACACACACACCAAACGATTAAAAACTTGAAAAAAACTAGAAATTAGTCACGATTGACGTAACGTTTTTTCACTTCCTCTTTCATCGCCAAAACCACTTCAAGCTCGGCCCCGGTCATATTCGACGTGTCCGTCGCTAGTATTCGCATGTCGCTCTCCCTTTGTTTCTGAAGCTCTCTTTCAGAAGCAATTTGCAAAATCTTGCCCATTCTGTCTTTTATACCCTTCATGTCGGCTCCCATTTCTTTCAAATCATTTGAATCCGACGCTTTGCCTTTGCCTTTGCTTTTTGATTTGTCTCTTCCCATTGGTCGGGAAGGTGGTGAAACTGGAACAGGTTCATCTTCGTTCAGATCAAATTGAACACGAGCATCTGATGTAGTGTGGTCGGACTCAGATGTTCTGCTGCGTTTTGACCCACTATCGATATGCTCGTCTGATGTTTTGCTACTCAGCCATTTCCTGTTACCTTTCAAAAAATTCCAAACTTCAAGAAACTTGAAAGCCTTCAGATTTTCTTTTTGATACACTTTCAACGCTTTCTTCAAAATCACTTCATCGCTTTCTCCACTTTTCCATTGACGTTTCATGTTGTTCCACAAATCATTAAACAACATGACTTCCTTGTTCATCTTCCCCAATTTGGAGTAAACTTGATGTTTTGAACGGTATTCTCCACGGTTCATTCCTTTATGGAACCTGTGTAAAACGCGAATCCAAAAGCGGTCATGCTTTTGGTCTTTTCCAACCGTCGCATCTTCTGAAATATCGATCCAAGATTGTGCCAACACTAACGCTTCCAAAGGTTCCCAACATCTAGCCTCCGCCTTCTCTTTTCTTTTAGTTGCTGCTCGAGTAGGCTGAGTTTCTGTAACGAATTCCGGTTCAGAATCAGAAACGGTCGTTTCTGGTTGTGTTTGTGTTTGTTGAACAAACTCAGGTTGAGACAAAAAATCAAATGTATTAAAATCCGGGTCGGGTTGTGGTAGTGGTGGTGTTTGTGGTGGTGGTGTTTGTGGTAGTGGTTGCGCTGGTCGTTGTGGAAAATACGAAAACATACCGCCGTAGTGGTAATACGGAGGTGAGAAAATCGTTTGATCAAATGAAGGTATTGAGGTGTTGGTGTTTCTGACTGATGTTTTTTCTTTGCTGGGTCGTTTGGAAGATGACATTTCTCAAAAAAAAAAAAATAGAGAAAAGGAGTAGACATATGGTTAAAGGTTGTGTAAAAATGTAATATATATATATATATATATATATATATATATATATATATATATGTGTGTGTGTGTGTGTAGTAAAGTTTAAAAAAAAAAGAAATTAATACTATAAAGACCGATTCAACGGTCAAAAAAGCAGTCAAAACCCAAGGACCAATCACAGTGCGCGGTATTTTCTAGCCGCAGTGCGGCCAAGACCGCACCAGACCGCGGCCTGGGGGCGGTGTTCTCGGTTGACGTGGCTTGAACCGCGGTCCCAGACCGCACCCACACCCTGCAGCCTTAGGCTTAAAGGAATGATGCATGACATGTCACCATGCCACATCTACTTTTTGGCAACCACCTCATTGACACGTCATTTATGCCGCACAACATACATAACGTGGGTGAATGTAAAAATTTAAAAAAAAAAAACTAAAAAAATAATAATAATAAAATAGACATTACACTCAGATGTACATTCTCTCATTTGTTTCTTCAACAACCAAATAATGCACAAACACTGGTCATGCCTGCATTAAGGTCATGCCGGCATTGAGGGGCGGTATATGCCGAGTATCTCCCCGAGCCACTCTTTTCGATCTTATAGGTTAGGAATGGAAAAAATAGAAAGGATGAGGATATATATATATATATATATATATATATATATATATATATATATATATATATATTTTGGATTAAATAAACTTTGTTTTGGAGTATCTATTTAAAACAAAAAAATTAAAACAAAAATATCTAATATTCTTAGAGCAATGGTTTATGATATGATTGTCACACTCTCACTCTCACACCACGACGCGTGATGTTTCATCAACTACCACCTTTATCATTCCTTGCCAACTATTTAACTTGCCCATAACTCTTTCCCCAATTCCTGCTACACTTTTCAACCCTTTCTCCACCATTGACGTAAAGTAATCTACAGATTATACATCAAAATGGGTCTTTGAAAATTCCACTTTAATCACTCTCTTCTCTTAAATCAATGCATATGTAAAAAAGCTCTGTAAAAATGGCGGACATGTTCGATACACCACGCATTTCTTCTTCATATTCTCCGCCGCCTGAATCCACCGATGACATTTCCCTTCTCCTCCGTCAGATCCTGTTTAAATCATCATCATCATCTTCTTCTTCATCCTTTTCTCTCACTCCCAAACAAATGCAGTATGAATTCCAACGCCAACAACCGCCGTATTCCTCCGGGCTTTCTATTTCCGATCAGATCCCCACGTTATCTTCCACCGGTGTTACTCACATTCCGGCGAATACCATGGCTCATGTCTCTTCTTCTTCTGTGGGTACTATCGATTATGACCCAGATGAATACGATTGCGAAAGTGAGGTATTATATGATATTTCCCTTTTGATCTGATCCATTTAGCATATTTCGTGCATATATTGTTCTCTCTCTGCTTCTTAAATCAGCCATGGATGGTGGTTCGTTTATTGAAACTTCAAACGTTTTCCAGGAGGGATTCGAAAATTTGATGGACGAAATGGTCGCAAAACAAAATCCTCCTCGTAATCCTTCAAAACGAACACGAGCAGCAGAGGTTCATAATTTGTCCGAAAAGGTAACAACTAACAACCATTGATCTTAAATTCATAATCAAACATAGATCACTACTTCACTAGTACTCTGTGTGATTGTCGACCTTGATTTATAATCGGATTTTGTTTGATACAGAGGAGGAGAAGCAAGATAAATGAGAAGATGAAGGCCTTGCAGAAGCTTATCCCCAATTCAAATAAGGTATTGTGTTCAAATACTTCGATTGATAATTCTACACAAACATTTCGATTTTCAACATGAACGCCTAATTGGTTTTGATTTATCAGACGGATAAAGCTTCAATGCTGGATGAAGCCATTGAATATCTGAAGCAGCTTCAGCTCCAAGTTCAGGTATGGTGTTTTCTTCCGGCTAAATTTCACGTAAAAATCTTACTAATTTTGTGATTAATGTTTCAGATGTTGACGATGAGAAATGGGATAAACTTGTACTCCATGTGTGCGCCGACGAACCAGAGAACCGGTGGGTTGAACCTTGGAAACCAGTCCGGCAACATGACGGCGAACCAAGAACAGGTGGTGAACCCGATGTTTAGCCTCCCGGTTCAATGCACCGGCGTCGGCCAAAATCCGCCGTCGATACTTGACTTTTCCCGGTCGATGAATCACGAACCTCCGTTTGGAACTCAACTGGGATCTTGAATCTTTTAGTTATTATTAGTTCTTGTAATCGTAAGGTGAAACATGTATGACTTTGTTAGTAGTCGGTATGATTGTGATTTTAATTTTCAGTTTCAATAGTGATAGAACTGTTGACAGAACGTAGAAGTGTTACTTTAATGATGTGACATTGATTGAAAATCACTGGATTTTCCAAACTTAAGATCAAAGATCCGATTTTTGATCCGATTTGTGATGACCCAAATAATAAAAAATTGAAAAAAAAAACCAACTATAAATATGAGCATAAGTTGGAAACCAAATAAAGATGAGCATAAGTTGGAAACCATTTTCTCCTTAAAAGACAAATCAAGTATCCTTCGAGTGAGTTTTTTTTTTACCCATCTATCGAGTAGAGTAGATCAAGATAAGTGTTAAAATTAAAAGAGTAGATTAAGAAAAATATTGAGTAGAGTAGATCAAGATAAGTGTTAAAATTAAAAGAGTAGATTAAGAAAAAGAACTAGTAGCATCCATACATAAATAATCTTATATGAGTAGAAGGATAAATAAAAAAATGTAGAAAGATGTTTAATTTTTCTTAAATTAATGATGAATATGAGAGAATTGTTTGGATATAATAGTTCAAATGATAGGTTATGGACTTATGGATGGGAATGGATCGGGTTGATTAATTTCCTAATGTGTTTGATTAACACCTTGTTCCCGAGTTGTAGCAAAGAAGAGAAGAGAAAAGAAGAGAAGAGAAAAGTAAGGAAAGAAAAGAAGAGAAAAGAAAGGAAAAGAAATTTGTCTTTTGTGTTCACGAGTTGGAGAGAAGTGGAAGGAAAGTTAAACATTTTGTTCTTTCTCTCAAAATCCTTCCAAATCGGAAGGAAAGTTAGGAGGGAAAGTGATTCTTTCGTTTCCCTCAATTTCCTTCCTGATGCGACATCGACCTCCGGCGTGCCTTCTGGTCTTCTGCTGCAGCGGAGATCTGGATATCACAGTGCAAAGTCGTTAGAGCCGTCCCAGGGATTGTGCCCCGGGAGCGGACTCCGACGGTCAAGTTAGATCAACTAGAAGATCTGAGATGGTTCTCCATAACTGGAGGGAACCATCTTGGTGCTAGTGGTGGTGTATGGTGGTTGACGGCGGCGGGTGGCGGCTGAGCCACCCGGCCGGAGTGTAGTATGGCGGCTGAGCCATGGGGAAGGACCCCCCTCCATGAAGGAGATACTATTCATTATATAGGGGACAATTAGGTCAAGGGGAATTAGGTTAGGCCTTGGGCCAGCCCAATTCAGGCCCAAGTAGCAAGGAGCTGGGCAAGGCCGCCCAGAGGCACCGGGCGAGGCTGGCGGGCGCGCACCAGGCAAGGTTGGGAAGGGAGCGCCAAGCCAGGGAGCACTAGGCTAGGTCGGCAGGAGAGTCCCCAGCAGGGCTGGCAAGGGAGTCCCCAGCAAGGCTGGCAAGGGAGCGCCAGGCAGGGCTGGCAGGAGCGCGCCAGGCCAGGCTGGCGCGCTAGAGCAGTCTAGGCCATGCCAATGGACCATATATCATCAAGTCCCCCAGTCTGGTGTTATTGGTACGTGGCCAATGACATCGGACTGGAACTAGTCATATGAACTGTGCATCGTCAAGTCCCCCTAGTCTGATGCGATTGGGTTGCTGACAATCGGGTCAGACTAGATAAAGCACCAAAGCATTTAAATAATAGAGAGAATGGCCGAACCTCGCCCACGAGAGTCGTGGGGTTATGCGAAGAGCCAAGCATTACTTATGCAGCTTGAGCTGACTTGATTCTCCTTCATTGAGAGGAGTGCGGGCCGATCGGTGCGATGCAACGTAACTATTGTTGCGATCATACGAACCGAGGCTGCTAAAGAGTATTACGCGACACTGATGTCGATGGAATGTCGGGCAGGGGTAGCTATGAAGCGTAACCTCGCCACACAGTCTCTAAGACCGTTGTCGAGCTCCGAAGTCTGTAAATAGATACAACGTACTTGGTCCGTGATTCCCGCGTTCCAGTCACAGCTGAAAGTTGTTAATAGAAATAGACACTCTGAGCGCCGCACACGCGCCCCGGTGAGAGGGACGAGACCCGTAGCCAGCACCGGGTGGGAATTTATATTTCTATGCCCGCTGGATGGGAACTTTGAGTGACTGGTAAGCGGTTCACACTTCACAAGTCCCCTGTAAATGCTTTACAGACCGAGCTTCGCTCCATGAGTTTGTTGTTGGCGCACTCTGAGTGTCGTGGCGCTCGAGCGATTATCTGAAAAGGTAACTCAATCAAATAGTTAGTATTTTTTCTTGAAATAATAAATTGATTCACATTTCCTGTCGTGATCGCTTCTTGGAATACTTCATAGAGTAGCAGTAGTGCACTACTCTTCTCCCTCCCCCCTTTTTTTTTCTTGAAAGCATTGAGATGGTCGGACCACATCTTATAGAATCAGATTTAGCTTGACTAGATTGGAGCGCACGAGCTTTAATTTTTATCTTTGCTAGAATGGGCCCAATAAGATGAAAAATTGATGTAGAGAAAACCACATTGCTAAAATAAATTCAAGAGCCCATTTGGAATTGACTAGCCCAACTCCTTTTTCCTTATTATTATTTTTATCATATATATTTTGAAAGTGTCGAGCGGTCCGGTTCGTCAAGCGTATTCCAAAGCGTACTATGTTAAGAGGTGCTTGCGCCATGCGAATGTTAGATGGCTGATTTTGGTTCGATAAATTTGTGACATTATCGTGAAATTAATTTGAAGGAAAACCCAAATTAAAATGTTGCAGACCATTTATGTTATAAGTCCAAGATTAACTTATAAGAAGCCCAATTAGAAGGTAGTCAGCCCAATATGAAATTGATGGAGCCTTCGTGGGAGATATAGGTCCGCCCTAATTTCTTTTATCATCTATCTGAAACGCCGATATACGCTCACTGAACACGAAGGTGAAAGGTAGCATTGGACTCCAGGCCGATGGATTGACGGCGATAATGGTGGAGCAACAGGCTGAAATCGGCTGTGCAAGGAAATCAAAGCTTCATTTGAGCAGCAGGGTCCACCGGCAACGCTAGCTAGTTGCGTCAAGTGGCACCGATCGGTGACTAGAGGTGACGTGGTGGTGCCTTAACTCCGGAGAGCATCTATTGGTTGAACACAGGGGCATGGAGGTTGCATACCTACGAAGGCTTTGGTGGTTTTTTGTCTGAGAACCGTCGACGGGAAAAGAATGTCGGAGCAACAACATGATTTCCGACGGAACTGATCTGTTGGGTCGTTCGTTGAAGGCGACCGATAGTTGCTTTTGGGTGTATTTCGTTGGCTCAGAAGTGACCGGAGGTGCTGATGGCGACGTTTCAGTTGCTGTTGCTAGGTGTTTTGGTCGGACTCAACAGTCAACCAATGTTGCTTTGGCTTCGTTTACCGGCGGTAACCACTGTTGTAGGAGGTAATCTACCAGCGATGGTGGCGTTTTGTACAGGAGCTGATCTGCAGAGCCGGAAGAGATCGGTGGTGCTCAGATGTGGGTGCTGATTTTGACTTTGTGTATGTCGAGAATTGGACCAGGCGGGTCCCACCTGCAAATGCTTGTGTCCTTTGGTTTGTGGTGTGCACTGTAATCACCCTTACCCCCTCCTTTTTTCTTTATGTCGGCTTAGGAGAGACAAAGAGCATCAAGACCATTTTGTAATAATTATTCTATACAACTTTTGTATATGCGAACTGTAAAACTGTAAAACGATTTTTCTCTCTTTTCTCTTTTGTAAAGGTTTCTTTCTATATGTACATGAACTCTTGCTTTTGTATGAATCTCATATCAGTTCTTCTAGTAGAACTCCTCTCCACCCCCTTTTTTTTCTTTTGGAAAACCATTATTAAAATGGTAACTAAAATATGGGGTAACTTAAAATGAGGTAAAAACTCATCAAATACTTTTCCTCCTCATTTTGCTGAATAAATCATCTAAATAAACTGAAATAAGATAAAACTCATAAACACTTTTCTCTTCTCAACTTTCTTAGCAAGTCATTAAAAAGAACGACAAAACTGAGCTAAGATGCAAATGAGTTTTCTGAAAGTTTAAGAGGGTAAAAAATTCATAGAAACTTATTTCTTCCTTCAAGCTTTTAAATCTTGAGTAAACTTATATACAGAAAATCATGAACTAAATGAGATTTTCTGGAAACATATAAACTAAGAGTGGGATAGAACCCATAAAGAACTTCTTCTTCTCTCTCTTCTTTTTCTGAAGAGTTTTGTAAAATGTACAAGCTATATAGTTGTATGTACAAATAATTGTTAGTGGGTAAGCATGTACATGGAAATGCACAGCTAGAGAAGGATCTCCAGATAATATGTGAAGAAGAGATGGGATAAAACTCATAAAACACCTCTTTTCTTTTCATCTTACTGGGAAAAACCCCAAAATATAAACAAAAAATGGGTTTGACAAAGTTTTCTTCTTATAAACTTTCTTTTCCCTTCAGCTTGCACAACAAGTCATTGAAAGATGAAAGAGAAAAAAGATTTGGTAAATTTTCGTTCTCTTTTCAACTTGTTCAACAAGAACATGAACAAGGAATAAATCTGAAAATTTCTCGTTTTCTTTCTCTAAATTTTTGAAAAGAAAACACCAAGCAAACAACTTCAAAGAAGTCTTGCAAAGTAAATCATATACTCAAGGTGATTTCTTTGCAACATAAACTGAAAACAAAGTAAATATCTACCAAAAAGTTCTTCAAATCTCAGGTTGCTTCTATAAAACACCAAAATATGAATAAAAAGGGAAGAAGGCTCCTGAGAACCTCTTCTCTCCCCGAAAATATAATTAAAACGGGTCTGAGTTGGTGTTTTTAAACTTGAGAGATGATTAAGTGAACAAAAACTTTCAGATCTAGAGATCTGAGCTAAAAAACGAAAATACCTCAAGAAATCTGAACTAAAAATGAAATAGATCTGAAAAGATTTTGACAAGAACCAAACGGATCTGATCAAATGAGGGATAAGAATGGACAGATCTAAGAAAACCTGATGTGGAACTCAACAGATCTGAACAGATCTAGGAAGAACAAGGTGATGGCTGCTTGTTCAAGTCCGGGATGGCGCCAAATGATGCGACATCGACCTCCGGCGGATCTTCTGGTCTTCTGCTGCGGCGGAGATCTGGATATCA